TTCAGCAGCTGGAGGAACAGGCAATATCTGCCCAGACCTTTCAATGTGATACATACCCCAGACATCTTTTCTAGTGCCAACTGAAACGACTAACCCAGTTACTCAATGATCAGGCCTGAAAAATTCTGATTTGAAAACTGGGAACAAAAAGCAGGGAGGAGGTTCAAACTTCCAAGCCATACTCAAGTCACCTGAAAACATCACCCAGCTCTCCACAAAGCCTCTTTCATACAAGCTCCCAGGACAGTGCAATGTTTGTCCAGTGCATTGCCTGACTCTCCAGCCTTTCTGAAGTACAAATATTGCTGAACAGTCACACAGTTCTGCTCTGGTGGCCCTGTCCTCTAAGAATCACCCCTGGCAAGCCTTTCTGGTGCCTTCCAGGAGAGCTCCTCCTCTCCTGTCCTTCCACCTCTGGCCATGTGCTTGGCTCTGATGCTCCTAGCAGCCCTTGGAAGCTCTTCAACCCTAGTTTCACCTCCAATTTCTACTTCCCTGAAATTCAAAGCTTCACCATTGTTCCTTCTTTAACTATTGCTTGGAACTCTCTCCCAGAAATGGTTCTCAGAACTCCCTAACTGCTCCATAAGGTAAGTCTATGATGGAGTTGAGGAGCTGTTCTGGGTTTTGGTTTGTTTGGGGGGTTTGTCCTGACAGGACCTGCAAGGAGGTTCTGCTGTGTTTGGCAGGGTGAAGGTGGCTGCCCCAACCCTGGCAGTGCTCACAGCCAGCTTGGATCAAGCCTTGAGCAACCTGCTCTGGTGGGAGGTGTCCCTGCCCAGGGCAGGGGGTTGGCACTGCATGATCTCTGAACTCCATCCCAACCCCTGAACATGATTCTGTTTGTGCAGCCAAGCCCTACAGTGCATCAGGCACTCTCATTCCTATTTCTCCTGCAAATGGGCCATTCCCACAAAGATGAGTTTTCTAATTCATCACACCAGCACCACTGAGCATCACCTCAGTGAAGCTCTGACCTCCTGACCAGCTGAATGTGGGTCCAAACCAGAGAACCTGCCAGGATGAACAAGGAGGACAAAGGGACAGACATGTATGACCTCTGCCAAAGCTCTAGCCCGGATGAAAGTGGAATTGGATCACCTTTCATGCCAACACAGATAAGTCCTTATCTATCAGTTGGGATCAATCTGATGCATGAAGCTGAGGGAGACATCCTGTGCTACAAATCATTCCACCTACACATGCAGAGCATGACTTCTCACCTGAGTGGCAGGAAGCACAGAGGCTTTAATTACTCCCTATGAGCTGGCTTTAAATTTCAGTATCAGCACTTCCATCAGTTTCCCAGGTTTTGTTCCCACAATCTGCCCAGGTTGTTCCAAAGCTCAGAGAAAAAAAAAATTAATTAGCCTGAAATTAAGATTCTTTTAAATGCTACTCCTACCTCCAGCACTCGTTCGGGTTTTCATGGTTTTTCTTTTCAAAACACAAACCCTTATCTAAGGACAACATCTACATTCCCAACATTACTGCAGAAGCAAAATACCTTAACACTGAGAAAGAAACAGCAACCCACAGGAAGGTTTCCCCCTCTCCAAGAGGAAAAGAGCTGAGACTCGCTGTCCACCAGCATTACTGCCAAGTGAGTAATGGCATCCAGCACATGATGGTTATTTCAAAACAGATCTGAATATGAGTTATTCTCCATTAGCACAGATAACTCCAAGGCCTTTAACATGGGCAGGATGTAAAGCAGAGTGTAAAACACCAGTTCCTTCTACACTGTCCTCTGGTCTTCACTGAAGTAGAATCACAGAACCGTCAAGGTTGGAAGAGACCTCCAAGATCATCAAGCCCAACCATTAACCTGTCACTGCTGGAACTCCTAAACCAGATCCTTCAGCACCAGGTCCAGACAGCTCTTAAACACCTCCAGGGATGGTGACTCCACCACCTCCCTGGGCAATATTCCAACAGGGAAAACATTTCACATTCAATCTGACTCTGCCCTGGCTCAGCTCAAGGCCATTCCTCCTAGTCCTCTCCCTGCAGCCCTGGCAGGAGAGACATCCCCCACCTCTCTCCAACCCTGTCAGGGAGCTGCATAGAGCTATGAGGTCACCCCTGAGCCTCTTCTCCAGGCTAACCAAGCCCAACTCCCTCAGCCCTTGCCCATGTGCTCTGCCCTTTGCTGCCCTCGTTGCCCTTGGCTGGACTCGCTCC